ATGCACATATATAAATAATTGAATTGTAGTATTTCTAGAGTAATTGAACAGCCCCCAAAATATATAAATATAAAGTGTACATGGATGAATTTGAAAAATTAATTGATTGAATTATAGTAGAATATATATAAATTAATGTTAATTATTATCATACACGTAAATAAATAATTGAATTGTATAAAAAGTTCATTTCACATAAACAGTTTTTTTAACTATTTTTTATATTCTCCGATTTTCAAATATTCATTTCACATAAACAGTTTTTTTTTTTTAACTATTTTTTATATTCACTGATTTTCAAAAATCATTTTTATAGCGTTTATAAAGCATTTCAAAATAACGTGCAACGCATGTTTTGCTGTGACTAGTTTTCTAAAAAATTACTATTACAAAATAAATTTTCAATAAAATTTTCTAAAAAATAGGCTCAAACATGTTCTTAATGTTACTTAGAAACCACCTAAAAACTAAGCGAATAATGTTATTTAACACAATTGATGTGTAAGCACCATCCTAAAGACACATTAAATGATGGATAGAATTAAATGAGTAATTTAATTTTTATTTTTATTAAGTGTGACATAGGGTCACTTAAGTTAGTATTGTAGTAACAATGATACTTGATGATACTCCATCAATTCCACAAAAAAATAGACTCATTTTCATTTTCAAACATACTAAAAAAATGTAATGACATAGTTAAAAATATAATTTTTTTCTTAATACATAACAACATAAATAATGATTTTATTAAGAGTAGTTCATATTCATTGAGAACAAGGCACGTTAATTAGAGTAATATTGAGACACTAAAAAAATAATTATACAATGAAAGTCACTTATAATTAGGGATGACAAAAAATTCATTCAACCCAATACTCATGGGGCCCCGTCCCGAATGGGGCGGGAATTACCCGCTTAACCGAGCAAATTGGACGGGGACGAAGCGATGATCATTACCCTGAAGCGGGTACGGGACACATAGTCTCCGTCTCGTTTAAAATTAATTTCAAATTTAAGTTTTTATTGAACAAAAATAATAAATTTATCATCGTTTTTAAAGAGAACATAAGTTTTTTTTTTAATAAATTACTAATTAAAGACATAAAAAAATTAAAGCAAAATTTAAAATAAATAAGAATAAAAGTAAAAAATAAATGTAGCGATAAATGGGGCAAGGGACTTGTCCCGCCTCGATTCGGCGGCCCCGTCCCGCTATAATCGGGTATAGGGATATAGTAAGGTAGCAAAAATACTCAACGGGACGAGAGTATGAATAATCGACCCGTCTCATACTCGCCTTGTTCTCATCCTTACTTCTAATTTGAGACAATCGAAGAAAAAAGGAAGAAGAGGGAAGTCTATCTGGAAGACGGATGAAATATTATTCTATATAAATTCAGAAAGTGGATAAAATCAAAACAAAAAACCATGGGTGGTAGAGAAGAAATGCTTCATCCACAATTCAGTTACACGAGGAGGTGCACGCACCATGATCCAGTGGATAATCAACATCACAATTCTCAATGCGGTTTTTTATGACACGCGTTGTGTTATAATTTGACCACCTCTCCTATCTTATGGTCCCACAGAAGAACCCATTTTCCCTAGCGCCAAGGAAACATGATCTGTGGGATCCACTAATCTTCCATCAACGGTTATGATTCCTTTATACAGTGACTTATCTTCGAAGGAAAAATTGCACCACCGGCTCCGGATCCATTGCTCTAAAAGCAAGGTGGTCCTTAACCTTTAAAATATAACAAGTTTAACTCAAACTTTTACTATAATTGTACACTCAATCTCAATGACATCATCTGTCTATAATTGTTTTATATCTATCGTTGTCAAAATTGGACAGAACCTACATGTTTCATCCAAAAGACTGAGAACCAATTAGATCATGTAGAAATTGAAAATTTAAATACATATAGAATAACTACCAAACATACAGATTAATGATCAAAATCAACTAGTTCAGTGTTTATTCGGCCACTGTTTGACAACCATTATTTCAAACTCTTTTTTCTGTATACTCATTTTCAACAATACAATAAAATATTTTACACTTAAACTTAAAATTTTTCCTACTTTTTAACCACACATTCGCCTAAAAATCACTATTCAAAGCTCCATTTTCCTCAAAAAATAGTTATCAAACAGGGGTTCGATTTTTATTTATTTGTTAAAATTTTTACCAATGTTTTGACCTATTGAGTTTGGACCATTTTTCTTTTTTCGAGCTAGAACACAAGTTAGTTTCACAATATTACTTGAAACGTTATGTAACGAACTCCTTGCATGTCTATGTTTTGTTTTAAAACTTGAGACGATGCTCAAAATTTTGAATTGAAACATGTTTTTTGTGAAGGCCATATCATAATTTAACGAAAATTCAATTTGGTTTTTTTATATATATACTAGTTTTTGCCCGTGCATCGGGTTATTTTGAAGGTAACATTAGTGTTTTAAATATGTTAAATTATCGTGAATTACATCTTGAATGTTAGATATGGGCAATTTAAATTATCCCAGTAAATTTGCAATTGATGTAAACTAAATTTTATTTGGAGGTGAAAGTTATCTTGTTGAGTCAAGTTTAATTTTCTAGAAATGTTGGGTGTTGTTTAATTTGACATTGTGTGTCTGAATGTAACTATCAGCTTGACCACTATTTTATGCATTTTGGTAATTAGACAAGCTATAAAAAAAATGTATCTCACGAAATCTTGCGGTAAAAAGAAGAAAACAACTTAATTTGAAGTTTGGAAAGGAAAACAACGAATTTTGGCCTTAAAAACAACTTGCACCCAGCCAAGCTGGTGGTCATGACGTCCGCGCCGAAGAGAGATTTTCGAACTGGGGTCATGAGCGCGATTTCGATAACCGTAGCCAAAGTTACGGTTGAAATACTAAGTCTAAATATTTTGTCAATTTAAGTTATTTTTTTCTTATTGCAACAACATTTCGTTCATTCCATAATTATGTCTTTTATTTTGATATGATTATTGAGTGTTTTCCCCGAATGGGGATCGACCTAACCGGTCAAATCTAGGGGGCAACGCCCCCGAAAGGAATTCTAATTTTCGTGTATGTGTTGAAGAGTTTATCTATTAAAAACAAAAAAAAATTTAGCAAATACCAAAGACGATGAAAATAGGAAAAAATAATATTTTTAATGGCCGTGTTTGAACAAAAAAATGCTCTAGAAAATAGATAAAGGTAAGCTTGAAATCTAATGAGTATGTTTAATTTTGTATTGTTAAAGAAAATTTAAATTATAAATAAAAAGAATCCGTGATTTTTTTATAAGTAGAAGAGGAAATAGATTTTTTTTGGGTATTCATACAGAGTGTTTAAAAAAATTTATACGTAAAAAAAAATTTCGGGCACCTCTCCGTGCACGACGGAGAGTTTACTCCGTGGTGCATGGAGAGTAGAACTCCGTGGTGCATGAAGTTGAGAACTCTGTGCACCACGGAGCTCTGTGCGGAATAGCTCTATGGTGTACACCACGGAGCAAATGCTCCGTGGTGTCCGGAGCATTTGCTCCGTGCGGAGTCCGACCTTTTTATTTTTATTTTTTTTCTTTCAATAGTAATCTTTAAACATTTTCTTAACAAAATCATCATCATTGAAAACACAACTTGATATATATATATATATATATTCTCATTTTGTAAATTTATACAAATATTTAATAATTCATAATAGATATTTCTAAACAATATTTCTAAATTCTTTTTCCACTGCCAAGTGTTCCATATATAATTTTTAATAAATTAAATATTTAATAATAGATCGTTTCTACAACATGCTATTTTTACCATAATAAATTATGCTCATATTATTAAAATTAACATTACATTTTTTTCCCTAAATTGAAGTGCTCCATATATAATTTCTAATATATTAAATATTTAATATACTTTCATTGTGGAACCAATTGGTGATCTGGAACTGTTTTTTAAAAAGGATTTACAGTTACTACTGTGAGAAAGGCCTTGGTGCATTATCATAAAGTGGATAAAATAAGAAAGAAAAAACAGTAACCAAGGATAAAAATGGAAAGACAAAATGCTTCAGAAATGAACATTAACATGTAGATTGGCTCTTCACCAATTGGTGATCTGTACCTTTTTTATTTTTAAAGGATTTCATAAAGTGGATAAAATGGGAAAGAAAAAACAGTAACCAAGGATAAAAGTGGGAAGTCAAAATGCTTCAGAAATGAACATTAACATGCAGATTGACTCTTTTAATATAGTAGGGATAAAAAGATTATTTCTTTTGTCAGAATATCTTCAAGAGACTTTTTAAATATAAAATTCTCTTTATTTTAAAAAGTTAATTCTTAAATTAATGCTCTAAGAAACTCTTTAAATTAACATTTTAATTTAGAGAATAAGTTAAGCCCTCCATCAATTTTCAATGAAGAAAATTAATATCATAATTTAGAGAAAAAATAGTGAAAATAAAAGATATAAAAAATAATATTTTTTATGGTAGTAAAATTAAATGTTAAATATAAAGAGCATGTTAGAATACTTGAATTTTTTTTAATCTCTTAATTTTTAGATATTTTCTAAATTGTAGAATATACCTTTTAAAAATAGAGAATTTCTTGAAAGTACAGTTATATTGAAAATAGTTTTAGGATAACTTTCCCTTTTGTAAATTTTTAGAACCAATGAGCTACTAAGACATTAGACTAAGGACCAATGGTGCAATATTCGCTATGATTCGGTCTTCAAATTCTATATCTTTAATTTTGATAGTACGTGTAATTTTTTTATTATATCATAGGATAATGAAACTGAGAATTTTGCGATCCTTGTTATTTTCACATTTTTTTTCTTAAAAAATAAATATTTGTATGTATCATTTTCAAAGAGTCTGTTTTGCTGACCCAATTCTCGAGAAATGCAGAAATTCTAGAGAGAGTATAAATATGTGAAGAAAGAGAGCTGTGGGAGGCTGACTGCGGGGGTGTTTACCAAATGGGAAGAGCATTTGTGTATGTAATAGTGGGCGGCGGAGTGGCTGCCGGTTATGCAGCTCATGAGTTTGTTAAGAGAGGTGTCTCTCATGGTGAACTCTGTATCGTTTCTGAAGAACCTGTATATTTCTCCCTCTTTCTCTCTGTATGTGCGTGATATATGTTTGTACATCAATTTTTTGCAGGGAATTTTTAGCATCAAAGATAATTTGAACTTTAGATTTCATATTGTCTAATTCCATTTTCAAACCCCTGATTGCCTTTAAATAAATACAGAGGATTTTTTTCTGTATTATGGCAGTTCAAGGTGTGTGTATATATATATCTCATTCTTCTTTTTGAATTATTTGGGAATTAGACAATTTGAGTATATTTGGTAATCTGTGCTGTGGATTGTATAATAAATAAATCGTTTTTTTTTCTATTTAGTACTATCTAATCCAACTTATCGAACTTCCATATGTTTGAATATCTATATCATTGGTTTTGATCTGAGGAGTTGTGTACTGAATAGCTGTGGAACTCAAATCTTCAATATTACTGCTAAAATGGGTTGAATCAGCAAATGGGACCCAAGTGCCAAGGAAATTGGGCGTAGGGGACACACGTGTTAAGAAAAATGGTCATGGGCCCCCCAAATGCTCATTTTTGTAGAGTGTGGTGGGCCTCCGGTGCTATTTTCCCCACATATAATATTGGCTTGTTAAAATTTTGAATTGTGGTGCCAACATATTGCTCTTGTGCTGTGTTATTCTTAGATGAGATTATTCCTTTATTTTCGTTTTCAACTCGAGAAAGAATGTGAAGACTGGATATTCTAAATTAATGTGTTTTTGGCTACTTGGTAAATCTTTTAAAAAGAATTGTTATGTGAGGCAGTATCAGGAATCTTTTTATGCTCAATCTCAAGCCATTTCCTTCCAAATAGCAATATATAGGAAAATAATTTAATTCTGTATAATATTGCAGGTTGCACCCTACGAAAGGCCTGCATTAAGCAAAGGTTATTTACTTCCAGAAGGTAATATTTTCCTCTTCTGACCCTTGTTAAAGGAGAATTGATTCCTTTATTCTTACATGACAAACAATTTTACCTAAAAGTTTTTGAAGAATACATAATTTCAGTTTGAGAAGAACTGAAGAACTTGTCTATTTCCCTATTTTATTTTTTATTTCGTGGATGGAAGTATGTAATACATTGTTATCCATTATTAACCGTGCTTCATAATGCACTATTAATTCCTTTGGTCTTACATTAGAGAATTTTCTGTAGTTCCAAGACTGACAATTTTTAGTTGTAAAAATCAATTGTAAATGTGTCTTTTCCTTCTCATCTTTTTTTTTTCAATTGTTGGGCGCACATCGATAAATTATTGTCCTCTAATGCAGTACGTGTTTTAACGTCCTGTTCTTGTGACATGCAGCTGCTGCACGCCTCCCTTCATTTCACTGTTGTGTAGGTGCTAACGAGGAAAAATTATCTCCAAAATGGTATAAGGAACATGGTAAGTCCACCTCATATTGTGCCCTCTAGAATTTATATTGACTCGAAAGTTGGAAAGAATCATTAGATGTTATAGATTTTCCATCTAGGTGAGGTGAATAGACAATGCTTCGTTCATCTTATTTTCATTGTAACAATTTTCATCCTACTCTATCTCCTAGATGCCTAAAGTGCTATGGTCATCACATGAATGCAATGTTTAAAAAGGTGGAAATGGGAACTGAGGCATTTTTCCTTTATGAGGGGAGGCATCACAAATCAAAAATTTAAGTCCAAAAATTATAAAATAATACAAAAATAAACATATATTAAACCATAAAAATAATTCAAGGAATCTAAAAAAATTAAAATCAGAGATAGGAGACAAATATTTAGAAATAAAAGAATAAAAAGGGGACATAATAACATTTACATACTGGAAATTTCAGTTTTGTAGAAGATGCTTCTCTTGTTTCTTGGAGGTGTTGAGGCGTGGGATAGTGTACTGGGGTTATTTAGATTTTCTTTTTTTAGAATAATGGATGATCACCAACCTATTTTCAGGTGATGTGTAAAACCATTAAATGTTTGTATATTTGACCTACCTTTTTGGTCTCATCATTTATTGTCATATTACATAGTGATCATTACCAGTGGAGATAAATATTATTCCTCGCTTTTTTAATTGTTTAGTCCCACAATATAAAGAATTGATAGGCCCAATTTTTTGTTTTATTCCCCTTTTATATATGAGACTCACGCATAGACATATAAAACAGAAAAAATATAGAAAAAAGAAGGAAAAAATGTCAAAGGTCACCACAAAATGTATGCCTCACGCCAACCTCATTGAATAAGTATTATAATTACCACCTCAAGCACAGTAGAGAGGTGTGCTGCACTCTCGCCTTTTTTAACATTGGATGAATATGTTTTTAACGTTACGTTATTCTACATGAAGCATTTATATATGATTAATAATATTGTTGGAGCAAAGGATATGATCTTGAGAAAATTCCTTAGAAGAGACTTAAAGAGGGCTGAAGTTTAAGGAGAAGACATCTCTTTTCAACTGAGGACCAAAACAAGATCATTTCGTTCCATTTTTAGTAAAATAGGAAGGGATGGAAGGAACCCATTAACTTGACCAGACATTGAGACAGGCAGTCAATATATATAGTACGAGTAGGAAAAATTGCTGAATAATCCGTTCTAAGGGTTCTCTTAATTTTTTCTTTTTAATTATTTGGATCTAACCATACTTTATTTTGATAAGGAAATTTAATGCTTACAGATATTTTACAGAAGTTTGTTAAATGGATGGGAACAAGAAGATAGGAATATGTACAACAACCATAAAATGTTATCAACTATTGGATTGCTACGGTTTGCGGGATGGAAACTCATTAACCGATCTAAATTAAAATATTCTAGAAATTGGATTTTGGAATTATAGCCCCTGTTTGGGCTTCATTAAAATGAGATCTTGGAAGAAAATGTGTTTTGGAACAGTGATTTTTGAAGAATGTATGGTTAAAAAATAAGAAAAGGTTTTGGATTTATATATAACATTATTTTATGGGAGAATGTGCGGTTGAAAATGAGTTTTGAAAAATGCATTTTTTGGAGCCGCAAACCTGGACATAATGTTAATGCACTTTCAAGAATTTTAAATGACACAACGGCTTGCCCTCCGAAGTATAAGATAAGCTGGTTAAATTTAAATAACAAAAATTATGCATATCTGTCATTTTAAGTTAGGGAATTATGGCAGTGAAGGTCCTTTTTGAGTGGACAAGCCATTTCTCCGCTCATTCCTCAGTGCATTATTGTATTTTCTTATTTTTTTCTGATTGATGTGAATGCTTTGTTGCCTATATTTCTTAGGATCTGCTTCAAAACTAACTAAGATCTTTCCTTGATATTTAACTATTTTTGAGATTTTTTTAACTGTCGAAGATACCATATCAATAAGAGGTAGTCATTCTTAATAACTTTCTTCTAACTGTAATTGATTAGGTGTTGAATTGATTCTTGGAACTCGAGTTAAATCTGCTGATGTGAAGCGGAAGACACTACTAACTGCGACAGGAGAAACCATAAGCTACAAATTTCTCATTGTTGCAACAGGTGCTCGGGTATTAAAGCTAATCTTTTTCCGTGTATCTATGTGGCACTATATAGGCAGTGTATCTCATTGTGGCTTGATAAATTGACTTGAAGGAAGTTGATAACTTGCACTAAAAAGAAAGGAAAAGAATAGGTCTTCAGACGCCGATTATGCTTGGAACCTTCGTGGTTTTTTAGCATAATTCTCGTCTTTGGCTGTTGGCCTAGAAAGATGTTTACTTCTTTTCTTTTCTTTTTTTGATATCCTCAAATGTACGACTCTGCACTTTGGGTCTGTTTTTGGAATGGCTAAAACCTGTGGACCTTTTCATATGGTATTTGGAAAGTTTGGACATGTGATTGAACATGTTGTATACTACCTTATTTTATTTGTTTATTTATCTGTCATAAACTTATTGCGACTCTTGGAACTGAATCAATAACTTCGCCCAACTTTTCTCTTGGTTTTCTCTTGTAATTTCAGAATTATGGAAATAATCTAAATTATTGCAGCATGCAAAACTGTGTCAACATTTTAATTTGAATATTCATCTAGACACTTGTGTCCAAGCTTATGTTTATGTTTATTTTAATGCAAACACAATTTAGAGCGAAACCCAACAATTGTTTTTGACACAGATTGATTTTCATGCGTCCTTTACAGGCTTTGAAGCTCGAAGAATTCGGAGTGAATGGATTAGATGCAGATAATGTGTGTTATTTACGAGATTTGGCAGATGCAGACAGACTTGTAGATGTGATGAAATCCTGTAGTGGTGGAAATGCAGTTGTCATTGGCGGTGGATATATAGGAATGGAATGCGCTGCATCTTTGGTGATAAACAAATTAAACGTATCAATGGTTTTCCCTGAGGCACATTGCAGTAAGCGTTTTATTTCTCATTTTTATTTTTTTCCGTTAATACTTATTTACTTCATCTCATCATTTAGTTTCTTTTACTCCACTGTGTTGGTCTAATATAGGTGGACCTTTAGTTTTACACTTACAATTATTGGATTGGAATCGAATATGAGATAAACAATGTCTGAATTGAGGTCGTCTGAATTTTTTTTCGAAAAACAGATAATTCCATATCAAGTAGGAGTGCTTTGATGATGATAGTTTTGTTGTTCGTTAGCAAAAAAAAGGTTCTCTTCAGAGGCTTACATTTTTCTATCCAGTTAACCTGTGGGAGACCTACATGATTATGTATCGCTTAAATATATAATAGGCTTCATTCATACTTGCCTTTCTTGATTAGTCATCTTGAACAATGAGATTTTCTGCCGTTTACAGATTTTTTCCAAGTTAGGAAACACATTACTTGTTAAATTGGAGGTTATCTACTTTAATATTTGCAACACATCTTTATCTTTTTGATTTTTGTAGTGGCCCGTTTATTTACTCCCAAGATTTCTAGTTACTATGAAGACTTCTACAAGTCAAAAGGAGTGAAGTTTATCAAAGGGACGATGTTGTCATCATTTGATTTCAATTCTGATGGGAAGGTAAAATATAGTTTCATTTTCTACTGACCAAAATTTAAAAATTATTAGATTTCTCACAAACTGCTTGGTAATATAGAAACTTGGGTGAAGTATTTGTCATTTCATCTTAATATTTTTTATACTATGTTGCTCTAACGTAAAGATATTGCTGCTGATACTAAATACAATTTCTTTCTAAGCGTCTGTTTGGCCGCCTTTTTTGTACATTTGTATAAAAAATATGACCGTTTGTCCAATAAATTTCTGACAACCCCATGACTTCCTGCTGTACCAAAAATTGTACTGTGCAAACAATTTCCCACATTTGCCCTTTTCCCCAGTCCAAAAAAACCATAAATGGACCAAAAACAAATAAGGACAAAAACGTAAATTGGTGTAAATTATATTTGAAATGGAATGGAATCATATGTAGGCGGTCACACAATGATTTGATGTGAAAATGCATTATGGGGACAAAAATGGGGATACGTGGGGGCTAATTCAATAAAATTTCATGGACCAATTCTTTATTTTGCAATTGATGAACCAAATAAGAAATTGGCATTTGGAAAAAACTCCCACCCAATTTTATCATGGGGAACTTTCTGGTGCTTATTGAATGGGTCAATTGCTTGTTGACTTTTTATGACTTCTAGCAAATATTCTTAGTTGCTTGTTATTTGAATTTGTGATCATTCTCTAGTTGATTCGCAGTAGTTGGACTAACCAGCTTTTTACAGGTTACTGCTGTTAATCTTAGAGATAGTAATAAGCTTCCAGCTGATATGGTAGTAGTCGGGATTGGCATCCGTCCAAACACAAGTCTCTTTGAAGGCCAACTAACCATGGATAAAGGAGGAATCAAAGTGAATGGGAAAATGCAATCGAGCAACAGCTCGGTGTATGCAGTTGGGGATGCTGTTGCTTTTCCAGTCAAAACTTTTGGAGAAACTAGGAGGCTCGAGCATGTGGACTCAGCACGAAAGTCTGCAAGGCATGCTGTTGCTGCCATTATGGAACCGGATAAGACAAGTGAGTTCAACTACCTGCCGTTCTTCTACTCCAGAGTCTTCACATTGTCTTGGCAGTTCTATGGGGACAATGTCGGGAATGTTGTGCATTTCGGGGATTTCTCGGAGAATTCTTTTGGGGCATACTGGATAAATAAGGGTCATCTTGTTGGGTCTTTCCTCGAGGGTGGAACTAAAGAACAATACGAGGCCATTGCTCAAGCCACAAGCCTCAAGCCAGCTATCCAAGACTCGGCTAGACTTGAGAGACAGGGTTTGGGATTTGCCTTGACATTTCTCAAGCCACAAGACTCAAACCAGCAATCCAAGACTCGGCTGAACTTGAGAGACAGGGTTTGGGATTTGCCTTGACATTGAGTCAGAAATTTCCATCATCGCAGCCTCTTGATTCTGGTGGTTCGGGGCTGCTTATTGAGAAACCCATATATGCTTTGCACGCAACTGCTGGAGTTGTCGTGGCAGCATCCATAGCAGTCTTTGCATATTGGTATGGCAGGAAGCGAAGGAGGTGGTGAGACCTTTTGTCTCAGAAAATTTTCTAATTTGATCATTTTATGCTGCAATGTCCCGGATGTAGCATTTCCAGGGCAAGGATGACTGAAGATATACCTTGATGTTATACTGTAATCCGTATTTGAGTGACAATTACTCATAAGCATTATTCCACTATACTTGAGCTTAGTTGTATCAATCTTCTTGGTTGCTGCTTTGTGAATTTTTGGCTCAGAAATCTTGGCTTTTGTTTTGGTGAGGCCATTTCCTCGATTCTGTGGATCAGAGTGCAATAACTCTCTTATTCGATGTTTAAGAAGTTCTTTTGGAGTTTGATCCATCTAAATAAATTGAGCTCCTCAATGCTGAAACAAGTCCCAGGATTATACTAAGGGAACCCTCTCCGCTCAAGTAAAGAGAATAAACTGCTGCAGGTTGAACCCTTGACTCGACAACACACCATCAATTGATTCATCAACATCTAGTGCATCGAAAATCTTTTTGAGATTGTTCTCATCATGTTGAGGACTAATACAAGGTGAGTCAATTCCCTTTTGCTGATACGGGAAAGGACGAAGAAGGAGATGGAAGAAGATATCTTGGCAATTTTCTGCCCTCCATTTATGATTGTGTTAGGGAAGAGATAAATACTCTCTTCTTCCTTCTCCTGGTGTACATACCTTCTCAAATTCCCTATTCAACGGTATAGCCTTCATTTACTATGGCAAGCAATCAAGAGCCTCCACCTATCACCTCCTCTCTTCCAACATAAACACTTTCAGCATTTGTAACTTATTTTTTGAATGGGAGAGGATCCAGAACTTCGACTCATACTCTTTTTGCCCCTCTTTCCTTCGAAGAAGCTCCATGACTCTCCATTAGTATGTGTAATCTTCCATGTTGGGGATAGACTTCAAATCTGTTTCGCTGCACTATTCTTATTTTTGGGCTTAATATCAGGAATTTCTCGTATAAGCTCCACAACACCTTTTTGTTGGGAATCTATTTATGTACTCACATGGAATTCAAAAACAATGTAGATTCCATTCGTTGAATCATCTCGTGTTAAGGTAGAATCTATGATAGGCTTCCAGACAAGGACCAGGTTCGCCATCCAACTATGATAATTTGCCTCTCGGTTAAAACCATTTGATATAAGCTTTCAACATCTTTCAAGGTTGCATACCTATCTTGGTTGAGGGATCTTATTTTCTGCTTGTGTGATTGAATTTAGGATCAATTTTCAAGGCGTAGCACGACAACTTCGGATCAATCCACACTGTTTTAGTGCCTCCATGCAAAACATGTAGGTTCCTTTTCAAAAAGTCTTCCTATTCTTGTTGACATACAAAAAGTGTAACCCAAATTAAATAGTCCAAGGGATGAAGCCCAATTAGAAAATCCGGGATGAAGGCCCAAATAAGACCATTAATGAATGCAGTGGAGGCTTACGAACAAGGTATCATCATCGCTCAATCTTGCAAAACTCCCAGGATCTGAGCAAATGGAGTACCTTAAGATCGGCAAGAGCAAATGAGTCCGTTCTCGCCAAAACCTTCGAATCACCCAGGGTCTTAGCAAACATGAGGTATTATGGTTATCCAGAACAACAGTTATTGAAGCAACCTTATCACATGCCACAATCCAAGAATCACGGTTGTAGGCAGTTAAATATATTCCAAGAATCCCGGTTGTAGGCAGTTAAACGACAAGAGTAATAGCAACAGTTAGAGACGGCAGTTCCATGACAAGTCAGCCATCATGAAGAAAGTGGGTAGTTATAGAGCATCAAGCAGTTTCCAAACAGTTTTTCACAAAGAAACTATCGATGGAATATAAAAGAAAAGGAAGACATAGAGAAGAGGGACCCCGAATCAAACTCTCAACAGAGAATATATAATTTCAATTCCTTAAATTAACTTTAAAACACTTCTTTTAGTACTTGTGTGCTGCGCCCTTTGGAGGCATTCTGTTTATTTCCAATTGTAAATTTTTACCAATAAAACATCCATTTTTGGGACTTTGTCTCAAGAGGTCTGTTCCTTACACAATCGTTTGAACCTTTTTAATTGTTAGCGACAACCTGAGCGAAACAATTTGGCACGCCCGATGGGACATTGGTGTTTGGTGTTTGAGGATACAAAAAGTGAAACAATATGCCTCATATGTCTGATAAGGAACTAGCAAATCAGGGAGTAGTCCAGTCTGTGATCGAGCGATATAAGGAGCAGCAAAGCTCTCTACGAATAGAGGGACAGAGTCAGAGCAATCACAGTTGTTACGAACCAATGACAGAGTTGGGTCCTCGAACCATACGTGCATTGCTTGGAGAACTCACACAGGATGTCGTTGAATAGCTAAATCTACGAAACGTTCATAATATGGAAAGATTTACCCAAAATGGGAATGCACATTATGACAACATGGCCAAACAACTGAATACATTAAACGAAATAATGAACAAGTTAGTAGGCTAAATGTGCCAGCTAGTTGTGCCTATTGCAAACCACTTTCAAAATAGGATGATTGTAGGACATAATTCCCCAGTCCTAAGTCCAAATTAAGGGATAGAACCACCTTTTGGTCCATCTACTTCAAACCAAGGGGTGGTTTAGTGCCAAACTTGAATAATGGTAATGGTACATCAAACTTGGGGGGTAACCTAAATATAAGAGACAATGTCCTGAATAATGAACAGAATACCCTACGTGTTAATGATGGAATAAATGTTCAGGCTAACGGTAACAATGTCAACTTTGTTGCCAACCAAGGACCAAATGTTAGGTCTCAGGCAACTCAACCGGTTAACCAACCTATAAGAATTCCATATGACCCCAACGTCATGTTGAAGAATTAAATTATGTAAATAGTACATGATCAAATGGCTTTTGGGGTATGCCATGTCATTAGGCCGACTTACATAAAACCATATCCTGATTGGGTGGACCAAGCATATCCATGGCCTAGAGGGTACAAAGTGCCAAAATTCTCATTATTCACTGGTTTAGGAGAAATGTCTACTCTAGAACATATAGGGTGATTCACACTGCAAAGTGGTGAAGTGACTGACTATCACAAAATGGGGTTGTTCCCTAATTCATTAAGAGGAGTAGCTTTCTCCTAGTTCATTAATTTGCCAGCGAACTCTGTTCAAACACGGCAACAACTGGAACAATTGTTTCATGCTCAGTTTTATAAGACTGAATTTGAAGTTACCTTGGCAGATTTGGCAAATTTACGTCACATGCCAAACGAATGGGTAGAAGGTTTCCTTCAAAGGTTAAAGACAACAAGAAGTAAATGCTTTGTGCCTTTGCCCGAAAAATAGTTTGTCAAAATCGCTCAAAGTTGTCTAAACTTTGATTTGAAAAAGAAATTCCAAGACGGAATTTCCTGATCTTTTCCAATTGAGTGCAAACGTGATAAGGTATGAACGATTGATAAGAGAAGAAGAGCAAATGAAAAATTCTAGCAAGGCAACTTATTATAGAGGCTCAAGTTTTGATGTTCATACCATTAATGACGAGTATTACGATCAAACTGAAATATATTTGGTTGAATTAGTCAAAGAAGATGCGTATACTTGTCCTACAATGGCCAAACCTAGAGCGTCGGGCAAAGACGAACCTATAAAAGATGAAATCAAAAAGGCTAGGATGTTCTCATTCGATGTTACCAAAGTTGACCTTATATTTGACAAACTGTATAAGGATATGCAGATAAAATTGAGCGATAAACATAAATTACCAAGCCCTGAACAAATTAAGGGTAAAAAATATTGTAAGTGGCATAATGCATGGTCACATTTGACTAACAACTGTTTTGTTTTCCGTCATGTGTTACAGGATGCCATCGAATCAGAACGAACGTGCAGATAAAATTGAGCGATAAGCATAAATTGCCAAACCCTGAGCAAATTAAGGGTAAAAATATTGTAAATGGCATAATACATTGTCACATATGACTAATAATTGCTTGGTCTTTCGTCATGTGTTACATGATGCTATCGAGTCAGGGAGAATTAAGTTCGAAGATAAGAAGAAGATGGCATTGGATGAAAACCCTTACCCACAGCCACTTCCTAAAGCGCCTAAAACACTCGAGGTGGCCAATCAAAATGTTCCCGAGGATAGTGAAGAGGCTAGTACAGGTGAATCAATTGAAGAATTGCCAGAAAGTTCTTCTGGGATATCAAAGTTTGAGAGAGACGGAAGGGATGAAGAAGATCCAGATCAGCCCTTTACTATTCAGTTCGGTACGTTGCCTCCTGCCATGTCTAATAACTATTTACTAGCCAATGAGTTTAAAAATAAAGAGAAAGAAGAGGAAAAAATGGAGGATAACGAAGAGGAAATATGTGTGCTGGAATGTGAAGAAGGCCAAACATCTAGAGGGGCATACAATGAGCAAGAGGATGATGGTATAACTGACATTGAAGAGGAAATTGATCTGGAAGCAGAGAGAAGAAAGAGAGGAGTATCACGCAATACCCTATTGAAGCAACTACATCGAGAAGGTGTTCGTGAAGTGGATTTCTTGGGAGAACGATCTGGATTTTCTTTCGATTATTATGTGTTGTACGGGAACCCAAAAGAAAAAGGAGAGTACTTTACTCTGAAAAATATAGGTCACCTCCAAGAATATTGCCTGATCCCACATGTTGGGTAACTGGAGAAGAAACTCTGGAGAGTAGTAAGGAGAGAACCCAAGAAGAAAAAGCTCAGTGTGATATATTGCATGTTGAATTATCACGAGGAAATGATTCAACAGAGGACAAACAGGAAGTGGAAATAGATGCTGTTGAGAAGGTTATATTTAAGAGACCAGCCATAAAATTGACTAAGCACTTGAGGCCATTGTATGTGAAGGCTTGGTCAACGGTATACCTGTGGCGAAAGTACTCATTGATAACGAAGCAGCTATAAACATTATCCCGTCCAGAATGATGAGGAAGTTTGCAAAGACAAAAAGTAATATGATTCCAACAGAAGTCATCCTCAAAAGTTTCAATGGAGGAGCAACTTCAGCTAAAGGAGTTATGTCACTGGACATAACTGTAGGGACAACTACTAGGACCACAGTCTTCTTCGTAATAGATGGTCATACTAGTTACAATGTGTTACTAGGAAGGGACTGGATACAAGGGAGTCGCTGCATACCTTCATCGTTCCACCAATACCTAGTCTTCTGGAACTACAAGGGCGAAGCAGAAATGGTGCAGGCAGATCATATACCTTTTATTACAGAAGCAAACTCGGTGAAAAGGTTCATGTATGAAGAAAATTATGGACCTTTAGTCTAAGATGGAAAAGAGACTTAAATTGTTGTACAGAGCAAATAG